CCTTATGTCCAGGCTTTCTTTGCCCTAAGGGATAATGAAACACTTTGTAAGACCTGCAAAATTAATTCAGACTTGCTAACTGCTATAGCACTAGGTGGGGAGGAGAAATGACAAAAAGAAACCCTGGAGCCCAGTGCTCCTCAAGAGAGTCAGCCTCCACCCATAGAAGAATGGCAGGGAGAGACCAGTGGGGGCAGAAAGGGAGAAGGAAAAAAAGTCCCTGAATTGTCCCTACCCTCCCTTGAACCAGTCTGGGAGGGTCCATTCTCTGTCATACTTTCTATCACCTCTGCCACTAAGGTAACAGGGCACAACTCATGGATACATCATATCTGCTTGAAGGCCTGGACAAAGAATGGAGAGCCACCAAGAGTCAAGACCCCTCACCAGCAGGAAAGGTTATTCCTGTGAACCCCTTGAGGGCTTCACCGTGCTCTTTCAGAAGACTCCAAAAGAAATAATGATTGTTAGAGGAAATAATTGTTTGATTGTTAGAGAAATGATTGTTAGCTTTGACTCATCCCCTCTTCTGGATTATTTGTTTTCTGGGGCTCCTAATTCTGGTTCTTCACTGCGCTTTCTGACCTGCAAGTTCCCTGGGGGTTGGAGTTATTTTTACTGTCAATAGATTAAACCCCAATATCCAACAATGATTTCTGGGCTGTTCTTCCTATTTTCCTCCTTCTCTCTCTAACAGGGAGGGTTACAGGATTAGAGGTTGATTCACCTAATATGTGATACAAATAGCTTCCACTATACAACAGGGTCACAACTCCACCAATAAGTAGGCATGTACTACAACCAGACTTCTGCTCCAAAGTCTTAAGAGTAGATGGATAGACACCACCTCCCTGGCTCATACACATGCCACCTAAAAGCCTCTAAATTACCCTAATCCAATACAACTGGTGGAGCTTTCAGACCCCTCTCTGTGTATTATCCAAATAGACCCAATGGTCTGGGAAACCAATCTGGCAAGAAATCGGTTCCCTTTTCCTCAAAATTCACAATACCCAATACAGTAGTACCTTGGTTCATGAACTTATTCTTTCCATGACTCTGGTCACAAACTGAGTTGGAGGTGAACTGAATCAACTTCAATGGTTAGGTTCAAAGCTGACCTTATGGGGAAATTTGATTTGGTTCTCATCTAATGCATAAATATTTTTTTTCCATTACTGGGAATCAAACTCAGGACCTTGCACTTGCCAAGTGCAGTGCCACTAAGCTGCATCCCCAGCCATTTTTTTTTTTGGTATGGGGAATCAAACTCAGAGACTTGTGTTTGCCAGGTAGATGCTGCACTGCAGAGCTATATTCCTGGCCCAGTTCTCATGCAATTCAACTTGCAACCAGAACCTTGGAAAGACATTCTCAAACCGAGGTACTATTATAATAGAGATGATTATTTCACCTTCTTCAAGAGATACCACCACCCCCATATCCATGTGTCCTACAGCTAAGTTCACTGTTGTAATAGATTGAGGTGCCTGACAATTGACCTGGTCAAAGTCAATCCTGACCGGTGTGATGCTACAGGATGGTGTAACTATTCTTGTGACCTACCACTGGAGTGCAGTCTTGATCTCAATGATCAAGCCTACCAACAATGGATACATTGGGATCCCAATGTCAGAGCCCATGCCTCACTGGGCTAATACCCAGAGACAAATCCCTTCACCCCCTTGCTTGGCAGCAGTCGATCTATACTGACATTCCAAACCTAAACCCCACCAGCAATGAGACCCAGAGCTCCAGACTCCTTTGCCTGGAAGGTGGTCTAATGTTCATGTTTCTCCAAACCTTATGGCTTCACCCTGGAACATGCCACCTATTGTTATAACTACACTCACATGTGGGGGATCTGAAAGGTAGGCTATGTCCTACTGCTTAAAAGTGATCTGGCTGTCTATGATCCCCAACAGAATCACACCACCATCCAAAAAAAGGTGGATGTCAAAATAGGGTGGTGGCTCTAATGGTGGCAGAGGCAACAGCCTTGGTGGGTTCTCTGGTTCCCCTGGCAGAAGAGACAATTTATAACGCTCACCATGGCCAGCATGTCCACTATGATGGGAAATACAGGGGCAAACTTGCAAGACCTCACTCCTTCTCTAGGTTCTCTGGCCTGTATGGTTGCAGAGCACTGGGCAGTGTTCAATTTAATGCTGGCTAGAGGTGGGAGGAGGGTCTGTGGAATAGCTAATCACTCTGAATTAATTAAAAAGGTCAGGTAGGATAAGGATCCACAATATCCTTTATTAGGCTACCTGGCTTAGGGGCCTTTCCCAGCTGAAACTATAAAACTTGTAGAGGGGCATCATGGGGATATAGCCTTCCCTGTCCTCCTGGCAGCTGCCATTCTTGGGATCACTTTTGTTTCCACTTCTTGTTCTCCTTTTTGGACCCTGCATCTTTAACTTCTTTGTGTATTTTATGTTCTCCTACCTACAGCTGAAAACCTGCCGATAACTTTGAAAACTGAGGGCTACTGGCTAGTACCAACAAAAGAATACTTCAGGAGATCCCTCAACTGACAATCCACTGACAGAGTATGTTTAGCTCCTGCCCTGAAGCACCCCATCTCAGCCTGACTTCCATGCCCCATTCCCTGAAGAATCAGGAGCTACTACTCCTTGAGGGGGAAATGTAGGCAGACTGATATGAAAGGTGGGGTGCACCTTCAGAATAGTCTCCCAGAGTGAAATTTTCCACCCTGGAAACAAAGAAACTTTCCTCTCCATTCATATATATGTAAAAGGAATGCATGGAGTACCCTAAAGGCAAGAGGGTGGGAAAGTCCTAAAGGTAGGAAGTGAGAGGGAAAATAAAGAGACTGGACACAAAGAAACTTGGTCGTTTTGAGCTCTTGTAAGTGACCCAGTTTTCTCTCTCTCTCTCTCTCTCTCTCTCTCTCTCTCTCCCCCTCTCTTTCTCTTTCTGAACCAGTGATCCTGAACCTTTGAGATCCAGTGCCCAAGCTGCAACCCAAAACCCACTTATTTATTGCAAAGGGCCAACACTACAATTAAACCTGAATACACTATTGACTGGCCATACAAAAGCTCCCACAAGTTGCAGATAATGATTTGCTGCTCATGACATCATCACCTGGGCTGTTACTCCTTTCCCAGCATGTGTGTGGCCCCTGTCTGGGGTAGCGCTGGGGCAGCTTGGCTCGCCTGTCAACAGAGAGGGCTCTGCATGCCCATGGCAGCATGCATGCCATAGGTTCGCCACCACTACTCTGGCCCATCTTTCCTATTCTGCAATAAACTCTATTTTCTTTAAAACTAAGACTGCTTACAAGTCGTCTCTCACTATTCAAGCTGGGCAGGACAAGCGAAATCTCCTCAAGCTGCAAAGAAGCAGGAAAATTTGAGTTACATTAGAAGAATTAAACAAGTCAATAAGCAAAGTCCCTAGAACAGGGCCTATTCTGATAAACACCTGGTAAACTTTAGTTAATATTATTTGGGATATATTTGGATTTAATTATTTTAGTATTTAAACATCTAAATGAATAAGATGCAAGTTTTTAAAAATTCGCATATCCTTAAAAGAGATACATTCTAGAAGATAAATTAGAGATTTTCTGGTAATAAACATCCAGATGTATTTTGTGGATGGCAATTTTTACACTAACTGAAAACCAAGAGTTCTTGACTTGAACAGGTTCTAATTGGTTTTATAAGCACACAAAACTCCCTGCTAATACAAGTTTTCAGAAATGTCCCGTTCATTTTTAAGTACTTTAATTCAAATTATGAGGTCAAAATTTTTTCTAACAATTTTAAAGCAATTCTTGTTTGATAACACAGGAATGAATAATTTTCTGTTAACATTGAAATAGGACTACTGTTTTAATACAATCCTTAAGAAGCTGCCTTCATTGCATAGTTTCACTGTGTATTGTGTGTCGGGGTTTATTTGTTTTGCCTCACTCACCAACTTACCCCTGACTTATACCACCAGACCCTAGTTTGTTATTTATAAACACAACCTGAACTTGAAATCCTAGCAGGGTATGGTGGTACCTGCCTATAGTCCCAGCTACTCAGGGTCAGAAAATCACTTGAAACCCTGAGTTTGAGACCAACTTGGGCAACAATGAGACCCCCCACTTCAGAGAGAGAGAGAGAGAGAGAGAGAGAGAGAGATCTGAACTCCAAGGAGACAATTTTAAACATTACGTTCTATTTTGACATTACATTCTATTTTCAGCTTAAAGAGTTAAAATATTTTGCGTTAAAAGTCATAATTACTAAAAATGTTCAATAGCTGTATCTTGAGTAGAAAAACAGTTAAAACAATATTGCATTAAGTTTTTCTGATTATTCATCTCTTCTAGAAAGCTGGAACTTTAAGAAATAACACATATCTATCACATCTGAGGCGTGCTTATGAAAGTACAAAAAAATTCACTTTATATTAATCTCATAAAGCAAACCATTTAAAATTTCTGGTGTACAAACATCTTTCCAGTACCAATGTTATAATGGAATTTTAAAGGATTGATTTGTTTATTTTGCTTTTTCTGGGCAAGCTGATGTGTGCCCATGTGGTCAGAAGTTTTTCAAAATTAAGCCTTTTCTGTTAACACAGCGCTTCTCTGTAAAGCTTCCCCTGTGCTCTATGCACAGTTATTTACTCTAAAAACCTCATATCATATTGAAATTTCCTTACACACCTTGATATCTTACCCTATATTAAAGATACCTGTCTTTCATGGTAGATTGTGAGCTCTTTAAGGACAACAAGTTAACCACATATGTGTATCGCACTCTGCTTTGGATGTAGTAAATGTGGAATAAAAGCAGAATGAAAAATAAATAAATGGTTTTCCCAGGGTCATGCAGTTGGTTATTAGTAGAGCTAATTCTAGGCCTTCCCAGCTCCCTTTATATCATAATGCTGCCTTGCTGAAAGCAATGTCATAATGACTTGAAGGGGGACTTTTAGGGTGGGGCTTACTTAGCTACCAGTCTTATATTGTTTTTTCTTGGTTAAAGTCCATGTAGGAGAGTGTTGACTCATGGAGATAATTTATGAGCGATCTATTGAAAATCCCTATGAAGAACGGTTCAAGTCCAGAGCTCCTAGGAAATTAACGAAGTCTGAGCCTTATGATCTACCGCAAGTTAACAACACCACTCAGTGGATCCGCCAGCCATTCCTTTGGAACTTTGCTCTTGGTAATCATGTTCTTACTCTAGTACATGTATGAAAACACATCCAGTTTTGGAGTCTAACAGGACAGTGGTGGGGTATACACAGGATTACATGAGGAGCCTGATACGGGATTGGATGGGGGAGAGCTCTGCTCACCATCACAAGCCTTAGCAAGGAGTAACACCCACTGACATAAAGGAGCACTTTTTAAAAAAATTTGCACAACCTTAGAGATTGCTATAGCCCTGGGCACGGAGGTGGTAGATTAGTCATGCATTAACACTTGACTTGTTAACTGCCAATTCTGGGTTCATCACTTTCTGTGAAAACTTTGCCCCTGTGTAAATGCTTAAAGTCTCATAGCAGCCCTAGGAGGAAAAAAAAAAAATCTTTAACTCTGTTTTACACACAAACCAAGGCATAGGTAGTTTAAGCAACTTCAAATACTTATTGTGAACCAAAGCCTATGTTCACCCTTCTACCTCAGATGGGAGTCTAATCTGTAAGAAAGTCTAAAGAGTGAGAGTTAATAAATCTATTTCCCTTCTCTCTGTCTCCTTTCGCTAAATACACCTATCCTCTAGCAGGATTTTCAGTCCCTCGATCAGAAGTTCTCAACCTTATTGAGACCCAAGGCTTGCTTTAAGTAACAAATTGTTTTAAAATACCTCCCTTTATTATCCTATAGTTAAATTCACAGGTAACCTACCATGCATAATTTCATAAATGACTCAATACAATGCCATAACTGTAATATAAAGGACAAAAATAATGTCTAATAAAATACTATATATTCAGTATACAAATTCTCAGATATAACTACTGTAGAAGACAACGAAATAGCCAGGCTTTTACATTATATATTGTATAATAAGGTCAGTGAATGAGGAGAATGTCAGGATATGACATGAATAAGGAGAAGGTCAGAAGTCACTTCATACAAGCAGGGTGAGAAAATAAAAGAGCAGATTTACAGGTGGACACCAAAACAAAAGCTAGTGTTAGGGAAATTAGTAACACTTCAGACCTAATAGCATCTAATAACAGAAAAACATAAAGATAAAACTATACCTAGACAAATTATGATCCATTGGAGTAAAAAGGGGGGATGTGAATATCTTACTCTTGAAAAGTGAGTAAACTATATTCATTTGCTAGGCTTCTCAGATTTTTTAAAAATAAATTATATTGGTCTGTAATACATACCCAAAAGGGTCCAAATCATAACATAGCGGATTGGTGAAGTATGTCAGGTGAACTCACTGGTATAAGCATTGCCCAGGACAAGAAATGGAACTTTAACACTATTCCAAAAGCCATCCTCACCCTGGCCTCTCTCAATCTGCTCTGCCAAAGCCTCCTTAACCTGACTTCTAGCCTATAGATTAGTTTTACTTACTTTTAAAATTTTATATACATCAACTTATACACTGCATTACTTTGTGCTCTGTTTCTATCTCTCTTCTTTTGTATATGCTTTTTCTGACCCAGTGCTCCATCCTCACTAAAAACTCCAGCATAACTCTCCAAAGATATTCTCCTGCCCAGCACCCATACAATTCTGCCAATCTGAAAATCAACATCAGTACAGCCCTACCATTAAGTTCACATACCTTCTTCAATTGTACTGACTGTCCCAACAGCATATCTTTCCTATACCATCCAGCATCCTACCTAGGAATTCCTACTGCTTTTTTTTTTTTTT